CATTGTGTAATTGAAGTTCTGTTTGTCATTGTATTGAGGTTGTAGTTTGCTTACTTGCCAAAGTTTTTAACGTGTTTCGGGAGTGATACACATGGAGAATACCAGTGGCTACACATCCCAGGTTTAAGCATTTGCTTGCTGTCTATTTGCCATACAATAAATGAAGCTAGCAAATTTTCAAGTCATGTTGGCTAATTAGGATTGGATTAATCTTGGGTTAAGTAGAATTTGATTGAAGATGCTAACATTAAGTATTTGTGGATTAATTTTCGCGTCGGTAGATATAAAATATATATATATATATATATATATATATATATATATATATATATATATATTGTAGGAGATTCTAATTTTCTCTATAATAATTAATATCAAGGGCATTTGATCCAAGTCTAAAAATTTCATCGCTTACGTTATAGCTGTTCTAGCTGGTAGTGCTATTGCTGGATTTGAGATGATAAGTGGAACTCCATGTCCATGGATCACCGACTGGTGATAATTTTTTGCAACCATTAATCCCAAACGGTGCTGCAAAAACATAAATATGTATTATATACAAAGCCAAGCAAAATCTGTTCCACACACTTTTCGAAGACAAAAATACACAAATCTAAGCTTTTGTTTTTTCGAAGCATTCGCCCTCGTTTAGAAGTAACAACACCATTTCGAAGTTGGAAAGGCGAAATAAAAAATAGAAACTCGTGGAAATTTGGCTCACTTATATTTATATAAATTTTGTCTCTTATCTTGAAATCCAATTTTTTAATTAGTTTCCTCCAATATTTCACCAAATTCCATAATATTGTAATTTTTTAGTAATATTGTAATTTTTTTATTGACGAATATGGTGTGAATTCTGGTCAACGTATTAATAAAGTTAAATCTCGTATTTATATTGGGAAATCGGTTTTTGTGCATCGTTTGCGTATTTTATCCTGGCTCAATGTCTCTGAAGGTGTGCTTCCCTTTACTTATTTGGGGGTTCCTATTTTTAAAGGCAAACCTAAGAGGGCATATTTTCAAGCATTAGTAGATAGAATACGTTCTTGTCTTTCTCGATGGCAAGGTCACTCTCTCTCAATAGCTGGTCGAGTTACTTTAGTCAAGTCAATTGTGGTAAGCATTTTGTCTCATACTTTCTCGGTTTATTCTTGGCCACCTACGGTATTAAATCAGGTTTGTAGTTGGGCTTGAAATTTCATTTGGACGGAATGTGCTGATTCATGTGGATTTTCTATTGTGGAATGGAAAAAATGTTGTGTTCCTTTAAATGAAGGAGGCCTTGGCATTCGTAATTTTTCAGCTTTAAATAAGGCATTTTTGTTGAAAAAATTTTGGGATATTTTTGTTACCTCATCTATGGCTCCACGGTTTTTTCAAGGTCGGTTTTTTAATTGTCTTGGACAGCTAAGTTTTACATACAAATGTTCCTCAATTTGGTCTGGTTTACGCCCTTTTTTTTAGATATTTTTCATGGATCAAAATGAGTGATACGTAATGGTCAAAATATTAATTTATGGCATGCGAGATGGTTAGATTTTCCAATAGTTGATAGGCTTGGTATTCCACCAGATTATGCAAGGCTTTTCGAGCTAAAGTTTTTTATTTTGTTGTGGATGGTTGTTGGATTCCCCCATCTACTTTACTTTCATGGCTAGCGCTCATTTGGGATGATATTTCTTCTATTGGGCTTCCTTCAAAGTATGGGATTGATGACAAAATGGTTTGGTTGTCTGCTTCAAATGGTGACCTTTCTTTATCTTTGGCTTATGATTTTAAGCGTAATAAACAACCAGTGGTTCAATGGGATCGATGGGTTTGGCAATCTTGCTTTCGCCCTCGTAATTCGGTTACATTGTGGAAGTATCTACATGGTAAGCTGTTAACTGATGATCTCTTGCAGCGAAGAGGTTTTGTTGTAGCATCTATGTGCTCTCTTTGTTGTGAAGGTATGGAAACTGTTTCACATATTTTCTTTGAGTGCTCTTTTGCATGTCAAATTTGATATACTGTTTTGGAATTATTCAATATTTATTTCAAGATATTTTTAGCTTTTTCCATTATCCTTTACAACAAGTTTTTGGTACCCAAGTGCAACTGCTTTGGTGGGGTATGATTGGAGTTGGTTTTTATTCTATTTGGCATGCTCGCAACGCTGTTCGTTTTCATGAGGAGGTTGTTCCCATCAATTATGTTGTAAGGTCTATTAAATGTAAACTCCTTGAAATTGATTCTCTCATTTCCCGCTGTATGAAGAATTATGTGGAAGAGCTTTGCATTCTCCATTCTATTGGTGTTCGTGGACGTCCTGCTAAGGCTCTAAAAATTATTGAGGTGTTGTGGCGCCCGCCTTCTTAGTCTTGGATCAAAGTGAATACTGATGGTGCAGCAAGATGTTCCCCTAGTGTGGTTACATTTGGTGGTATCTTTTGGGATTTTACAGGTAATTCTCTTGGTTGTTTTGCGGGTTCAATAGGCTTGGCCTCTTCTTTGGATGCCGAACTACGCTCTGTTATTCATGTTGTATCTTAGCTTGGGATAAAGGTTGACATTCCTTGTGGATTAAATGCGACTCCTCACTGGTTCTTCTTTCTTCATCCTCACCTTCCGTGACATCTATCCCATGGAGGCTTTTGGTCAGTTGGCATAACTGTCAAGTTTTACTATTCTCCATGCAGGTTCAGATTTCTCATATTTTTAGAGAGGGTAATCAAGTTGCTGATTGTTTGGCCAATTATGGTGTTGATCACCCCGGTGTCCATTGGTGGGACTCATGCCCTCCTTGTTCTGCAACTGCTTATTCTCACAACCTTTCTAAGCTTCCTTGTTATAAGTTTTGCTAAAAGAGGTTTTGAATTGTTATGAATTCTTTAATGGTTTGGGTTTGGCCTTATGTCCCTCTTGACATATTGTATTTTTCTTGTTTATTAATAAATTCTCCTCAAAGTCTTCTTATGATAGCAATGCTAGAGTGGGACGGACTTTGTGGTCAAATTTGAAAAAAAAAGAAAAAGAAATAATATTTAGTAATTTTAAAAAGAAAAAATAAATTAAATCTAAGAACTACATGGTTAAATTAACAGGTCATGAATCACTGTGTCTTGCGCTCTCTCTTCGTTCATTTACAAACTGCAAGTTTGAATAAACATGTTTGTTAAGATGAATTCAAATTTCGTTACTATATGCAATTTAGATTGCTCACTGTTTTCCAATTCTTTTAGTTTTACAACATTTAATTCATCCAATTTTTTACTTTTGTTTATTCATTTCCGTTATTGCGTGCTCCATTCATTTGCATTCATGTTTCTACGCCTTGTCTTTAATTTAATTTATTTTTTCATGACTAGATTAATTTCAATCTTGTTTATTTTCAATTCCCTTCACTTTTTCATTTGATCTTCACCTTCACCATTTGGTTGTCCATTCAAAGCCTTGCCTTCATGCTAGAGTAATAACCTAGGTCGAGAAAAGGTTACTGGCTTGGCCGTACAATTATTGGTAGAAGTCAAATTCAAAGTGCAAACACAATCACATTCACATCTTTTCTAAGTACTATTCGACCGGTAATTCGCTCTGTGGCCATCCCTTGATGCTCTCATATGGCAATCTTTCCGTAATAAGCAACATACAAATGCTTGAATCTTCGCTCAAATCTCAACTTACGATGAATAAAAAGCATTGTTACATAACATAATGTGGTTATATGAGCTGCTTAAGGCTTAGCAATGTTACTACAAATGAAAGGCCAATTTTATGTAACATGAGCTGAACTTCATCAACAATTTAAAATGCACTGAGAAATAGAAGAAATTAGGTTATCATCCTTATTTTTTTTTACTCCATTGATTAAAACCTTATTTCTTTTCAAATTTTGATCAAAGTTCTTCGGTTTTAATAAACGCCATTAATTATTCAAAAACAAAATATTTACATGTCAAGATAATCAAGTTTTATTTTTAAATATATTCATTTAGTGTTAGAAACGTTACATTTGATATATTATATTTATGGCTAAACTTTTTATCATATATTTCTATTTCTAGTTTGTACCCATTTTTAATTTGCAATCATTCCTTTTAAAAGGAAAACTAATGAAAATGACTTGAAAACTTTGAGTTTTAACGATAAGAACAAAATAAAAGGTAAAGTGAATAGTACAATGATTGACTTTTTAGTGTAAAAATGTGGTTTTTCGTTAAAGTAAACAGTACCGAAAGCTTTTCGTTAAAGTTTCCTTTTTTAAATTGTACCAATTTTCTTTTAAATGTTAATTTGTACCCATATATTAATATATTTTTGTCCCTTATTTTTTAAACTTTTATTTGTACTTATAATTTTTTTAACCTTTTATTTGTACCCATAATATATTTATAATGTACCTTTTTTTTTTTTTACAAATGTATCACTTTGTTACATGTAAAATGTATCCCTATTTTTTTTTGTAAGTACCATTTTTTAATGTAAAATCTATTTATTTTTTAATCTAAAATGTACCATTGTCTTTTTTAATATAAAATGTATCCATTGTTTTCTATATAAAATGCACCCACGTTTTTATGTAAATGTACCAATTATATATATATATATATATATATATAATGTAGCCAAATTTTATTATATAAATGTACTCATTTTATAAAAATAAAATAAAATAAAATCCCTTTTTTTTATAATCTAGAATGCACCCATAAGCAACTAAAATCTTTTTATATATATATATATATATAATCTTTTTTATTAATATGTCATTTATGTAGCACGTGATGGACTTCAATAAAAAATCTAAAATACATAAGATTTGAGTTTATAACGGTTGGGAATCAGAGACTGCAACTAAACTATTCCTAAAAAAATCTCTAAAATTTAATTGATAATATGAGTTAGACTACAAACCAAAACCCAAGATGACCTATTTATAAACCTTTAAGACTCTTATAGGGAAAAAATATAAACAAATAATAAAAAAATCGAGGGCGTTAAAATATTAAAACCCCATTTTGATTAATTAAACAATGTTAAGCTGCCAAATTCTGACCGGGCTCATTGCTTTCAACGAGTCTTGTAATTTTTGTTCTCTTCAAATCTATATATTATGGGCCTAAATATGACACGCCAAACCAATGTTACATTAATCAACTTATATTTGGATCAAAATATGTAGAAGTCATTGCATTTGAGAAGTTCTTCATATATCTCTTTAGTACGAACATTGGCGACGCTGGAGGACTAAGGGACACACAAACCACCGTGTGCATTGGTCGAATGTGCCGTCGATTTACACATGATCAACCCCAATGGCATGCGCAGTGCGCACCTCCCTACACCATTTACCATCCCTTCAAGATCAATAAACCAAAGACGAATCCAATCCTTCTGAACGAGGAACTTCTCCATCTCATCATTAGATATGTTATGTTTTGGGTTAATCTCAGTTTACTATCCTGAAGTTTCGTGATTTTCAACATTTGGTACATGAAGTTTTTTTTCATCCCAGAGTCATACATCAAGTCTTACTTTTGGGACAGTTTCATACATCCGTTAAGTTTTCCGTTAGAATTTCTGTTAACTGATGACGTGGCGCCCAACTGAACCGTTTGAATTCCCACCCAACTGAACAAAACGAATATGATAAAAAGAGAGAAGCACTTTGCAATTCACCTGCAGGTAGAGCTTCAGGGCTTGCATTGATGATGAATGAGAAGACTGAAGTTCATCATTTCTCGAAGTTATGAAACTTCATCTTCTTCTACCAATAATCCCCACACGAGCACACTCCGTCTTGAAAGTGATGGTACCGGATGGGATCTCTTATCACAATACTTCTCTCCTCAATCTTCGCTACAAGTTTTGCAAATACATGACAGTCTCCGCAAATCCTTAGGTTTTTCCTGATCCTAAGTCTTCCCCTTTGACAAGCTCATTAAACCAAAGACAATCGCCAATTTCTCGCTGTGGGATAGAAGTGAAACTTCCCTCTGTTCTCCCTCAAGATCTTGCAAAACAAAATTCGTGTCAGGAATGTAACCCACTGCCATTAGTCTATCAATCAACAAGCTCAGCTGCCTATTGATCTCGTCTATTTGTGGATGTGAGTCATCTCCCAAGATAAAAGCATGAATCTGTTTGTTCACTTCAATCCAACTGCACCCGGGTTCTTTAGTAACCCCTCTAGCTTTCATGCTCTTTCTTACTTCAGTCACATCTTCCCATCTCTGAGAATTGGCATATATGTTCGATAGTAAAATGTAGGTTCCGGCATCATCAGGGTCCGTTTTAAGAATTTGCTTGGCAGCATATGCTGCTAGATCTACATTCCGGTGAACCCTGCAGGCGCCAAGCAACGTCCTCCATGTCACTGCATCTGGTTCACCTTCCATTTCTTGTATTAGCCTTGCTGCCTCATCAAGTTTCCCTGCCCTTCCAAGAAGATCAATTACGCAACCATAGTGCTCTCTTCCAGGATCAATTCCAAAAAGCTGCTTCATATTCTGGAAGTAGTACCACCCATCTTCTAAAAGCCCAGCATGACTACAAGCAAACAGAACCCCAAGAAGTGTGATGTAATTTGGTTTCACCCCGGAAACTTTCATCTGCTCGAACAATCTCAGGGCCTCTTGGCTGAAACCATTTTGCGCTAGCCCTGCAATCATGGTGCTCCAAGAGATTACATCCTTCTTCTCCATCCTGGTAAAAACAGTGTTTGCATCTTCCAAACTCCCACACTTGCAATACATATCTAGAAGTGCATTGTTCAGAATTAGATCTTGACCATACTTCACAGCATGAACATGAACCTGCCTTCCCAATTCTAAAAGCACCAACACCGTGCAAGCTCTCAAAACGCTCGTTAGCGTGGCCTCTTCAGCTGAAAAACCAGCCCTTTTCATCCTCTTGAAAAGGTTCAGAGCCTCATCACCATCGCTGTTCTGAGCAAACGCTCCAATGATAGAGTTCCAAACGACCAAATCTCCGGACACCATTTCATTGAAAACGCCCCGCGCATTATGCAACTCACCCAATTTCGAGTAAACGTCAATGAGAGCACTCCGAACAAAGACGTCAGATTCCAACCCAGCTTTAAAAATACAACAATGAAGCTGCTTGAGATTTGACAACCCATTGCAAGCTCTCAAAACCGAAGAATACGTGAAACGGTTAGGCGAAACACCTTCTCTAAGCATCAAAACCAAAAACTCCAAGGCCTTGCGGTTGAATTTGACATTCGAGTATGCCGATATCATAGTCGTCCAGGAAACAACGTTTCGCTCAGGCATTTCGTCGAACAGTTCCTGCGCTTCCTCCAAGAGAGCAAATTTAACGTACATGTTGATGAAAACGTTGATTAAGAAGGTCTTGGGCTGGTACCCATTTGAGAAAACGTGTTTGTGGACGAGCTTACCCTGCTGAACAGCTCGCCGAGCCAAGCAGCACTTGACGAGCTCGGAGTAGACGACGGAGTCGGCCCAAAGTCCGCGCCTTTGCATGGCTTCCATGGCTATCATGGCTCTCGGGAGGTCTCTCTGGTAGCAGAATTTGGTGAACTGTTGGACCAGAGTGGAGGGTGGTGATTCTGCCACGTTGGGCATGTGAGAGCAAGGACGTGAAAATGGTTGCAGTGCTTTGCATTTCAACTTGGAGACAGGGATGGCTCTCATGCTGAGAACAGAGTGAGAACAGGGAACACGAAGGGAGAACGCTACTCTTTGCATTTGCATTAGCCTAATCCTAACCTATTTTCCTTCTCACTTTCATCACTTTGAGCTAACATCGCTTTTGGACAAAAAGTGAGAGAGACAACGTTACTGCAATTTGCAAGAGGTTTAATAACTAAGTCGATTAAGAATATTCATTTATGCGTCTGAAATTATGAATCAACTGTATCCAAAGGAAAAAAGTGGCGTTCCATCTCATATTGTCTGGCTTTACCATTTTATGTGAACTTAATCTTCTAAGAAGTAACTTTAGGTATTCTACATGCTACATGTTTATAATAAAAGGGTATCTAAACTAAAACGTTTCACATACTAGCATTTTAAAATAAACTTGAAATTAACGACATACTTATTTACTTAGAAAATATTGGAATGAGTATTTTACTCTAATTCACAACTTTTATTGTGTTGCTTAATGAGTATTTTACTCTAATTCATGACTTTTCTTGCGTTTAGCAACAAATACATGTTATGCTATATTCGTATTGAAACACATTAATACCTGAAAATTCAAGAATTAGAATCTCTCCCCTCATTATGGTTTCTCGTACTCTAAGTAAATATGCTATAACATAATTCAATCTTGACTTCTTCGTGTTGAGAAATCAGGAAAATAAACGGTGAAAAATGAAGAAATCTTTTTTTAAATCAACATTTATCGTTCATTTCTCGAACTATACAGTAAGTCCTCAAATAAGAATATGTCCCAAAAGAAGCATACATGTACATATACTACCTCCCTCTCTCAAAGAAAACCCCCAAAGGGAAAACCTTGCTCAGTCGGGCTTTAGGGTTGGTGGCAGCCCTCAAATCTTTCCTTGCTTCCTTCTACTTTTCCTTATCCTCTTCCCCCCTTTTTCTTTATGTATGCATTCCTCCGAATTTTGTCTCAACTATTAGAGCTTATGTCTCAATTTTGTACCCTCTTCTCACTCAACTGCCACTCACCGCCAACCCTCTCCTCCTTTCACATCGCACCTTTCTCTCCTACCTCCCTCTTGCTGCCCCTCATCTTTTCCAACTCTTAACCATGAATTAGATCTCGGAGTGGGCTCCACAAGACCCAATTCACATAGTCCATTGTTGATCTAGATTACTGGAAAAATTGGACGAAGTGTGAAACGATTCACGTTAGAACAAGGTTGTTTTACGCACCCCCTTCGTCCTCTCCCTCCTTCTGTTAGGTTCTTGTGACTTTTCTTGCTCGTGTAGCTGTGGAGGCTTTGGTTCTTGGTTAATTGATTATGCGTAATACTCTCAAATCTAGTTTTTGGTTCGGATGCATTGTGCAATGTCTTCCTTCACGGAGGTAGCGGCGATGGTGATTGGTTTTTAGCGGCTGGAGATTAGAGTTTTATTGTTATTTTTTCTTTTGTTGCCTATGTGTTTAAATCTGTGTGAGTCTCCCTTTGTGGCTTGGGTTGTAGCTCTCATTTTTTTACCATGTCTTCTATTTTATGTATTGCTTCGTTGTGTAGGGCTTTGTATTCTGTTGAGGTTTGGGTCTTTCTAGCACAAATTGTATTTTTCCTTTCATTAATGAGGGTTTATTCTTGAAAAAAAAAATGTACATATACTACAAGTGAACAAGAGCTTTTATTTTTGGAAACTTTAACGAAAAGCACCCGGTACTGTTTACTTTAACGAAAAACTATATTTTTACACTAAAAAGTCAATCATGGTACTATTCACTTTACCCTTTATTTTGTCCTTATCATTAAAACTCAAAGTTTTCAAGTCATTTTCATTAGTTTTCTTTTATTGTTTTGTCTTTCGAAGAATACGCACCGTTTAAGTTGCGAAGGAAGGAGGATGGGCAAGTGCTCACATAACTAGTAACCAAAATAGAGACGTGACAGCAAAGCGAAAGAAGTTCCAAATCCTCGTTTGTCTCCTTCTTCGGCAATCGCCGCCCAGCCGGACCGTCGTCATCAGTCCCGAAACCGAGGTAGAGACCGTGTCGATGACTCAGTGAGCGCGCTAGGGTTCAGCAATTAGACTCGTGCCTTTGGTAATAGGAGATGCCTCTGAGAATCAAACTGGTGGTGGACAAGTTCGTCCAGGAGCTCAAGGAAGCTCTGGATGCCGATATCCAAGATAGAATCATGAAGGAGCGAGAGATGCAGAGCTACATTGAAGAGCGGGAACGCGAGGTCGCCGAGCGCGAAGCTGCTTGGAAGGCGGAGCTCTCTCGCCGCGAGGTACGAATTATATTCTTGTTCTCGGCAATCCAATTTTTTCATTCAGTCCTTTTGTCGAACACCTTGATTGCAATCCCATTTTGTGGTCTGAATTCAAGTTTTTCATCATGGGTATCTTTCTTTTATTGCATTATATCAATTTCCCATTTTTTGTTTGATTTAAAAACCCAATTCGAAGTTCGATTAGGTGTAGCAGAAATGCAGAGGCACACGTTTAAAGTTGAGTTTTTTGTTGGTTTGAGTAGTTAAGCAATCACAAATATGCCTAACTGCCTGCAGTTTCTACTTTCTTTGATTGTTTAATGCTACCTGCCAACCTCACCAAGTTCACATTAAACTGGGTTCTCTTCCCAATATCTGATTTCAATGCTATGTGGGTACTAGATAATCAAGGAATGCTGGACTTTTCTGTGACTATCAGTGTAGCATTTTGTATGTTTCTTTCTAGTCTACACTTGTTCTTATGAAATTCAACTGAGAACTATTTGTGTAGTTGCTAATACTAGTTCTTTCTAGTCACCCTGTAATTAATCACTAGTATCTAGCAAAATGTGTGCTTGTAGATTGCTAATTTTTCTAACATTTAATTCGAGTCTCATGAACATTGTTCGCTCAGTATTTCCGTCAAACGCCCGATTTCATTTTCTGGTTTGAATTCAATTTTGTTGTCATGAGATTCTTTTTTGTTTGTTTGCACTATCAATTTTACTACTTTTTTTGTTTATATCTATGAACCCAACTGGAGGTTTAATTTTTGTGCATCTGAAATGCAGAATAACAGACTTGACGTTTAGATTTAATTGCTCTGATTAGTTAAGCAAAGCACAAATATGCCCAATTATATGCATTTTTTCTTTTTTCTTTTTAATTTTTATTGCAATATCTGGGAACTTTTCTTACTTTATAAGTTTTAAGTGTTTAACTGATTGCAGTGCTCTGTGATCATCTGTGTGGCGTGTTGTATGTTTATTTCTAATCTACACTGGTTCTTGGGAAATTCAGCAGAGAACTATTTGTTTCGTGAGCAATCATCCACGTAGTAACTGGTTTTTAGCAAAATGCGTGCTTACATTTGCTAAATTTTGGACATGATGCACCGTTGTTTTGTTTTTTCGCCTTATCAAACATTGTTTTGTTGCAGGCAGAGATAGCCAGACAAGAAGCAAGGCTAAAAATAGAGAAAGAAAACCTCGAAAAGGAGAAAAGTGTTCTAATGGGAACTGCATCGAATCAAGATAACCAAGACGGGGCACTTGAAATCACTGTCAGTGGTGAAAAGTATCGGTGTCTCAGGTTTGCAAAGGCAAAGAAATGAGGCATTTGAAGGGTGGGATAAAAAAAGAAGCGTATAACCACGATTATATCTGATCTTTTACTTGCTTAATTTTGCAAACTTCATTCTTTGTATGAATGCTTGAATTCTGTACATCCTGACATCCCATTGCAACAAGTTAGCGTTGTTATGATTGTTTCTTAACCTCAAAACCCTGATATCCATATCTGATGCGCTGCATGATTGTTTAATTAATTCCTCTATAATTTTTTGCAACGTGCTGCAACCTACATTGTTTCTGATTAAGGTAGTTTTAAGAAAATCTTGTTACCCGAACTTTTGAGACCCCAAGCCGGAAATGCATAATGGCAAAAGAGTGAATAAAGTCAACATTGAGACCCCGTTCCATGGGCAACACGAATAGTGCAATTGAGAACTCTATTTTAGACTAAAGTGATGTGGAATTGATGTTCAAATGGTAAAAAATAAGTAGATGAAGGATATATACTACAGATAGTGAGGTTGAGAGAGTTATGTTGTCAGGTCATTAATTTACTTTCTGGTGTATTCGTTCGATCTTAGGTGGTAATCAGACTTTAGAAATGTGTTATATGACCCAAGGATTGACCTAGGATTGTTTATTACATTACACAATAATGTAGTTGTTGTAATATACACATCTGTACCTACCGTTGCCTTATAACACTATTAAAGAGTGGATGACTTTGAAGGAACAAGTGACGTGATCATCAGTCTTCCGCTCTGTCTAGCTAAAGACGTTAACTAAAGAGCTAATTGGAAGACATCCAAATTTTCTTACTCTTTTCTTTTTATACCAAGTCACATCCAATTAAGCTTGTACCTATACCAAGTCACATTGACTTAGCAAAATACTTAAAGATAGAACTTGGTTATAGAACTTGGTTGCTGAAAGAATCAGCAGCCAAGTCCCGTTCATACTTAAAACACAAATCACACACAAAGCGTGCAGATGGCGGTTAACCTGCCCAAAACTCTCATTTTACAAAATTGCCCATGAGACTATAATTAATTGTAAACTGCCCCCAATTTCTTAAAATTGTCAAATAGCCCCAAAGCTTCAACAAATTTCACATTTTGATCCTTGTTGTATAAACAGTACAGTAAGAACATCATTTTCCAAGATTTCCCACCAAATCAAGCCTATAATATACGAATTCAAAGATGGGAACAAGGAAAATAGAAAATATACCAGAATCAGGGCCCCAAGGTGGCCAAGGAAGGCAAGTTTTGTAGGAACCTCACTGACCCAAGAGGGCATATCGTCGGACTTCGGTGATATCGAGAACGATTTGCAAGCTCGAATTCTGCTTCTTGTGACGATGAAGGTTAGAAACTAGGGCCTAGCTTCGCCTGAAACGGCGAGGTTTCGCCGAATAAATTATCAAGAACCCGAGGTTGGGAGTGGTGTGTCTCGTCGGAGAAGACGACGAACAGTGGGAGTAGCAACCGCGTAGTGAAAGCCTGAAAGGCCTTGGGACTTGGTGTCCTGGGCAGAACGAAGTAGTGTGGTGGTGGTTTCAGATTTAACGAGGTTGGCGGTTCCGCCACGTCCTGAGTTTGCAAGGACGAGAGGGACAATAGAGATTGAAGGATTCGAGTTTTGCCATTGGTCTTGGGTTTGATGGGTGGTTGGTTTTGCGGTTTTTCGCCGTGAAAAATGGCGATGGTGGTGATGTTTCCTCGGCCTTCTTACCGCGCAACAAGGGAGAGGACGACAGGAATGAGAGAGAGAGAGAGAGAGAGAGAGGAATAGAGTAATGACACAGATTGAGTGAGGGAGAGCGCCTGACAGAGAGAAGAGAATAGAAAAGATGTGAAAGTGGAGATTAATGAAATAGAAAACTTCATTTTAAGGATTAAAATGAGTTTTAGACTATAATCTAGTGTCAAATTAAAATTCAATTTTAGTCTATAGTACATTTAATCATCTTATTTATTAGTTATATTTTGATGTTTTATTTATCTTTTTATTTTTATTTTAATGTATTAAGTACATTTAAATTTAGTTTTTATTTCATTCATTATAATATATTTTAGGCCGAAATTTTTTTGTGGTCCATGTGGTGACACATCACTTTCATTGTGACCCTTGTGGTGAAAAAACTATTAATTAAACCCTCGTGGTGAACCCTATTAGCAATTGAGGTCCAAATCCAAAGTTCCATTAATCTTCCGTTAAATAAAATCATGTGATTATCACATGAGGATCGGTCAAAATTAAGTTTATTTCTTTTGGAAAATAAAAAGACAAAAACATGATTGAATTAAAATAAAATTACAAATAAAAGAAACTTGTAAAGATAAAAAAACCCAATAGTTTCCGTATCTCATTTCAGGCTCCCAGCCACCGCCATAGCCACTAGTGAACCTCCTCCACCGTCACTAACCATCACCCAAATTTGATAGCGCGTGTATCTCAACCTATTAATGCAGAAAAATCACATAGGCACAAGAATAACTTAAAGAGTTAAAGACAATGGGTGAAATGCAATATATATGCATTCAGATGGGTGAAAGGCATTGTAGAATTAAAAACAATGGGTGAAAGGCATTGTAGAAAATTCAATCTTCATGTCTAACCTCCGCATATGAACTTCAAGAGCATAAGAAACTTAAAGAACTATGATCGGATCATATTTATATATATTTTTACTTCGAATTCACTCGTCTTTTATTAGTTAGTTCTTTATATTTTGAGCTATTTACGTTATTTTTGTGTTTATAGAATTTGTTATGCAAAGAAAATAAAAATAGCACAAATGAGTTTTAAATAATAAACAGAAAAGAAAAACAAAAGCAGCAGGATGTGGAAAATAGACTGGCAGACAAAGAAGACAAAAGGAATAAAGAAAAGAAAAAAAAATAAAAATAAAAAATAGAAAGAAGATAGCATGGTGGGGTGAGTACGGGAAAGCAAAAGAGTGATGGAGAAGAATAAAAAAAAAGGGAATATAAGAGAAAGGGTAAAGACATAATGTGTTAATACATTATACTGTTATAGTCATCATTTCAATTAACCCAAAGGGACCGAGATAAAGAACATTATTACAGAATAAAAAAAACATCCACTTGTTCTTCAGTTTATCAAGGATACAGATGGCTTTTCTGGGGCTTTAGGCTGAATGCCTTTGTGGGAGCCCCAACGTATATCAGAAGGGAGCACGGGGAGAGAAGTGGAAGACAGTACGGGAGGAAGTGGACAGCAGCTGGGAAAGAAAGAAAAATATAAAATGAAAGAGGTAGTGCGGGACTGAGTGCGGACAGAAAGAAAAGAAGAAGAGAGGGCAGTGGATGGACACGGCATAAAGGAGCAGAATGGACTGACTGACAAGAAAAATATAAAAAGAAGAAGAAACGCGGAAAGGAAGGGGGGAGAGCTGCCTTGCGGCAGCAGAAAACTAGAACAGAGAAGCAAGAGACGCGGAATAAGGCTGCCCTTTGGCAGCGAGGTCAGAAGGCAGGACATAAGAAGACAGCGGGTCAGAAGGCAGGACAGAAGAAGACAGTGAGAGGGCAGCGTGAGTGCACAGGAAAAAAAGGCAGCATAGGCGAGAGGTCAGTACGCAAGAAGGGAAAGGCAGGCGAGAGAGGTCAGCAAGAGGAAAGCTGCCATTTGGCAGCATGAGAATGGGGAGGATGGACAGAGTGAAGACTTGCGAGGAGCTGCGGGAAAGAAGGAGGTCAGAGTCAGTACGGGACAGCAAGAATAAGGAGGGCACGAACGCAGCAGATCATCCCCTTTCGGTTTAATCTTTCCAAACTTCTCTATTTTATTTTTGTTTTAATAATGTGTAATTAAATTTATTTTGGCTAGAGGTTAATTCAAAGCCATGAATATATATGTAATATGAATTGATTACCTTCAGTTGTGATTTCTGAGTTGTGATTTAATTTGCTTAACTGCTTGATTGATAACTTATTTTTGTATGTCGATTAAGGATGCATACTTAATTTACATGCATGAATTTGATGCTAGAATATAAGTGAATTTCACCTAATCGTTATGAACTTATATTCACAAGTAGTGAAGGTTGCTAGTCACAATCACGTTAAGTAAATTCTTGGCATAAGTTTCATGCAAATCATAGTAACGAGTGCCTCGTCAATGCTTATGTTTTTCATAGAACTTAATGATTCTTGCTTGTATCTCTATTATGCAACTCATGTAGGGAACTTGTAGGGAATGTTTGGGTTGTCGTATGCAATCATCCAACCCAATAACTTGTGGAAAAACTGAGGGTTAAAAAAGTGTTGTTCACGGTTAATCTGGAGTATTGAGATTTACAATTTATTGAAAGAACAACTGAAAATCAATTTAGGTTGCATATGTGTCATGTGTGGAGAAGAACCCTCTAGCTAGTCCGTCACCTATCCTTTCACCTTAATTTCATGTTTTTGTCAATTCTGTAATTTATTTAAGTTTAATTTACTTTTCATCAAAACCAACCCCCCCCATTATTAAATTATATTATTTAGTTAGTTTTCATTGTTGTTAGTCTTTTAATTCAATTTCCGTCCATTTCAATTCCTAGTGTCTAATTTGATTGTTTCCATTATTTTGAGTCATTCTACGTGTGTTTCGAGTTATTAGAGTTTTTAGCCTAGTTTTGTGTCCTTGAGTCTTGTTTAATATTTCTAAATTAATTTAGAATAGATTAGCAATCCCTCCTAATCCCCGGCCTAGAACGATACCCTACTTACATCTATACTACAATTGTCAAAAAGAGGGTTTAATTTGTTTGTCAAGTAATTTTCGCATCAAATTTTGGCGCCGTTGCCGGGGATTAGCAACTTTGCTAATCCTTTTATTTTTGTTTTTGCTTATGTTTATTGTGTTTGTGTATGTTTACTTTTGATATTTGATTTATTTTTCTTTCTTTGAATTGAGGTACAAATGGAGCAAGACCTGGATTCTACTAGCATTCAAGATCTATTGGCACAGCTCACTGCTCAATTAACTCATAATGCCGAACGGACCACAATGCTAAGTGTCCCTACACTTGATGTGCCCTATGGGCAAGGATATCAAGGTCCTCAATTTTCTGCAAATGAAGATGTTTGGGGATATCAAGGCTATAACCAATCAAGGGGCAACATGTTTTCCAACGTTTGCAATTCAGATTGGAGAGGAAATTCAGATTATATGTGGGATGAACCTCAACAAATTCAA